AGTTGGTTTGTCGTCGGCCTTCTGAGCCCAAGTCTGCGGGTTCGATCCCCGGCCCAGACACCGGATTTTCGGGATGCAGAAAATCCTCAGCGGCCATGTCGTATGATTATGCGGCATGTAAAAGATCCCTGGAGTGCCTTATTGGCTCTTGGCATTTCCGGCAAAATTAAATTCCTAGTGCACTTTAGCATCCAAATAGAGTCTCGGTGATGCCATCTAATGTGGCAGAAACTAGACGTCCAAATTAACATGACCAACGGTATCTCACCCATTGTGGTGGTCCTGAAACAGTGGATACCACCTCTGGAAAACGCACTAGGTCTGCTCATCGGGAAAAACTGATTGTGCAGCTCATTGGAAATAAAAGTTTCTAAATCTTAAGAAGAAAATGAAGTGCAATACACTTTGATATCATTGATAACAGTGAATGTTGATTTTAATAGTAAATTAAAAAAAAGAGGGAAAGATATATGATCAACAAAAAATGTATTCTTTTTAAGTGCATGGTAGAATTTCAAAAAAATAGCCAAACTTTACTACTGTTAAGAAGAAGACAATTGACTGGTTCTCACATAGACATAGTTAAAATATTAGAAAAAAACAATCTTGTTCTTTGCTCTTTTGCATTAATACCAGAAAGAAAATAAATGTCTTTCAATTTAAACCTTTTACACATTATATTGCTCACTTAAATAGCAGAAAATGTATTTTCCTAAATATAATTCCTAAAAACATTTTGTCAATTTGTTTTAATCATACAATCTTTATATTTTTAATTTCCGCATTTTAGCAGCGATTTGGTATTTTGTCATAATAGTAGATTCAATATATTGAGCTTTTATTCTATGTAAATTAGGGTGTTTATAAAAATTTGCTTTCGATTTCTCAGTTTTGTCTTGGTTTGTCCTGCCAATAACAGACAATTCACAGGTTTAATACTCTATAAAAAAATTATGTGATATTTTGCAAATAAAATGAAATTACACATTTACAATATTAATTAGATTGAATTTAAATAGAATCATATCATTTTAAGTAGTTATTTTAATAGTGAGAGAGACCATAAAAATAAATAATATATTTTTAACATCATGTGATGGAAAATATTAATTTTTTTAACGCTAAATTACTATTATCTAGATATTATAACATTACTTAAATATTTTAGAATTTTTAATTTTCTTTCACATTGAATATCATTTAAATACAATATAAACAAAACAAATTCTTGTTTATAATTATTATAAAAAAACATTAGTTCATTTAATAATAGCTTTTAATGATAAATTAACAATACATAAAAAAACAGATTAGAGAAATTAACATATATTTATATTTTATGAGTCAAAAGATCTGTTCTACAAATTTACAAAATCGAACATGAGGATCCTTATTTTAAAATGCAAAATTCTGCATTTTTCAAATTTGTAACTCTTCGGAATGGGGGCAGTATAACAGTTTTCAGAAAGGCAAGACATGTAATTTTATGGAACTACAACAGTTCTAAAAACATATACATTTATTTTAGAGATTAAGGCTTAATTTTCGAAAAATTGACAAAACGTGTCAGCACCATCCTATTTTGCAAATTATAAATGCAGCAAATACAGTTTTTGTGATTTGATACATAACTTAACAATTTTAAAAAATTGACTTTTCCTCACATTTTTCAGCTATTTTAAAGCCATATACATTTCAATTATTGTAAAAACTACTAAGTAATTATATATTTTAAAGCTGGATAATCAAAAAAACTTTTGTACAGTAATTTTTTATGAATTTTTTTTTCCACAAACAATAGAAAAATGTTTAGAATAAGTATGCTATTATATATTTATACTATACATATAATATATTATTATCTATTTATATATTATTATATATTTATATTAGTATATATCATTAACATAAAGGGGATTAAATTAACTGGAGTAAGCAAAAAATTAACAGAAGTGCAGAAATATAAATCAATATATTCAGGGCAGAAAAATTAGGATATTAAGGGAGGACTACAAAACTATTTCCATGAAAAACAATAACATTGAATTTACATCCATAAGAAAACATGACAATAATCTGCGCAGTTGTCCAGATAGTTTTTAAATAAGAAGGCAGTAAGAAAATGAGTTTTTTTATTAACTATTCAAATAATTAATCTTTATTTATTAAAATGACTGAAGTTTTGCTAATAATGACATTAAATTTGGTGACAATGAATATGAAAAAGTGAGGGGGGAAAAGCTCTGAGAAAAAACGGTTATTCAATTATTTAAAATAAAGAATTATCCATGATTATGGCTTCAAGCTAGTTGCAGAAAAAAAAATGCTGAAATTCAGGGTAGATTCACATAAAACTTTGAAAATTGTGAGGAAATACAATATGTGTAGATAGATATATATATATGCACTGAGTCATTCAGTCCTGCCAGCTTTTGCACTTTCCAAGGAAGTACTTCCCAAAATTGAAGTGAAAGACTAATTGAAATGCAATGTTAGTTTCAATGAAATTTCAAGTGCCGTATATTCCGGCGTATAACGCGCACTTTTAATACAAAAAATAAAATTGGAATTTACGGGTGCGCGGTATACGCCGAATATAAAAAATTATAGATTAAAAAAATTTAAATATAGAAAAATACTTTTATTTTAAAGAAATAACATACCTTTACCTATATACTTCATTGATTTTCGTTATTACATAAATAGTTCATTATATTCGTCTTCCACTATCAATTACAATTATTAAAATTTTTTTGTATTATAATTACAACTTTTTTTGTATTATCTGTAAGGTGGGACCTAAACATGTCCCACTCTAAAAGGCTTTCTGGTTTTCTTACGCAACCAGGACGGATTTGCCAGATGTTTTTTACCCACAATTTAGCACCATTTTTGTCCATCCAGAATCCCATTATTGCTCTTTCAATTCTACCCTCATATACATGTCAAATTCAGTTCTTTTATTTTTGCAAAAGATAGGGAAAAATACTTTTTATTTACGATCTTGAAAGATGAGATATTGCACATGTACAATCCAAATTTTCGTGCGCGTTATACGAAGAGTATATCTTAAAAGTTAAAAAAAGTAATTAGAAATTACGGGCGCGCGTTATACGCCGGGGCGCATTATGCGCCGGAATATACGGTAAATCATAGCATTTAAAAACATTTCAGGATTTTAGAAGAAACATTAAAATTTTGCAAAGATCATTACAGAAATTCATACTGTGACATGCTTTAAACCCTATCTGCGACAGTGTTAGAATGATTAGGTACTTCAGGATTATCCTACCGGCCTGTCAACGCTCGTAAAAATGAGCAAATAGTTTGGTGCCATCATAGTGAAAAGCAATTTCCAAAATAAACGTTCTAAACGCATTAAATTTATCAAATAATAATAAGAAGAAAATAATATAAGTGTACAAATATGCAGTAAAAAGTGTAACATAAAGCATCAAAACATAGTAAAAATCTCTATTATTTATAATTACACATTGAATTATTCTGTAATCTAAATATAGATATTATTACAAATCTCTTAGGCGACCAAGAATCCTTGATAGCTTTTAAAGTGCAAACAAACAAACCATTATCCTTGTGCAGGCACTGGTACACAAATTTGTAATATATTTCAACACGCCAAAGAAACTTGCATAGTCAAGGATTACACAGTAAATATGATAAAATTTGAGAGTAATTGGCGTAGAAACTACTCGTACTAAACGTAAACGTAGGAGATAATATTGGGTTTAGCAAAAATAATCAACTGAATAATAAAGTACGAAAATGGTTGATGGGACAATCCTAAAGTACCGATAATTATTATGATAATGCATACTTACAAGCATAACCAAGCAGTTAATTAAAAGTGGTGACGAAAAGACTATCGATATAAACATTCCATTACTATCAAAATATTGCTGTCGAGCGAAATATCTAAATAAAAAAAAAGAATTAATTAGAACATGAATAAAATATTACTGTCAGAACGTATGAAAAAATAATTCCAAAAGCTCTTACTTCCAATTAGTGGCAGCCATTTCATTGATATACCGGGATGAAAGCACAAGTACCACTGCAATATGAGGAAACAAAACATAAATACCAAAAGGAAAGATGATTTAATAAGCATTACTTAAACTAGCTATAGCAAAAAGTTCAATCAATAAATTTTAGAATTCTCCTTTGTTTACCAGTATATAAGAAAAATCCCATACTTCAGCAATATTTAATTTAACATTAATTTGTCATTAATTTAACTTTCTACATTTGTATCAATTCATGATGTTCATGATGAATCATGATGTTCCCAAGGGCGCCGGCAGGGGGGTTCAAGGAGGTGCACTTGCACCCCCTGGCTTTTTTTAAACGATTAAGGAGGTACAGAAAAACAATTTTGTTATGAAAATTTTTTATTAAAACTATTTATTCAAAAACAAATAATTAAGTAATTATTGATACATAACAATTAAAAAACTGTTTAATCAAACAAGAATTGTAATCGTCTTTTTGCTGTCCAAATCTGTTTATAACTTTTTCAATGAATTCTGAGTCATCTTTAAAATCTATTCATATGTCGAACACTCGAAAGTAATTTTTTGTCTAAACTGTCAAAAAAAGATTTATTTCTTTGGGCAGATATCTAAGTTACATTTTTAAATTTCATTTAATAAAATATAAATAATATTATACTTTCTATTAGTTATTTAGTTTAACAAAGAAGTATAACACAAACTGACTTCTCACAACTGTGAAACTTGTTCACAAATACCAATATCAATGTTAAGCGTGTACAAACACGTTAGTATACGAAACTACTGTTTGTAGTTATGTAGGTTCAAAGTCAGTAGCTATGAATCTCAAGAAATGTATCTCGAAAAAAATTAACAGATGAAAGTATATGTAATAACAAAAAAAAAAAATGCAATTACAGAATATCTAAATATAATTTTGGGAGGGGGGGAAGAGTAGTTTGTCAGAGGGTTGCACCCCCTTTTATATTATTCTGCCGGCGCCCTTGGATGTTCCCCCCTCCCAATTGAATTAATAATTTTTTTTTAGGAGAGCATAAAAATTTAAGATAATATATTTTTGAATTCAAAAATCAAAGAAAATAATAGAACGATGAAAAGGACTAAAAACATCAAATTGACTGCATACATATGTGCAGATAAAATAGTAAAGTAAAAGTATGCTTGACTATAAATGATTTAATGATTGTATAATAGATTAAATACTAGAATATTTTTACGATTTCTCTTTAATACAATAAAGCTTTAAGCATATCAATAGGCTTACATTACTAAATGAAATAAAATTGATTTAAATGAATTACGCATATTTTTGAATTGAATCATACAAGCATTGCATTTTGAAAATATTAAAATCAATAAAAATATACTGGATCAAAATTCGCCATAAGATTTCAGGGTTACTACTTCCGGTTGATTTTTACTGATTTCATAAGTATGAAAAAATGTGCCATTCAATATAAATATACTTGTAGTGTTTTCAAGTGTAGTGTTTTCAATATATCGCAATCTTTCAATCAAACTTTCAAGAAGACAAAAACAAATTAATTCAAAAGACTCCTCAAGCTTGCTATAATGTTACCTAAAATATAACAAGCGCCGCCATTTTACACGAATACAGCCAAATAAGGGACAACACTGAAAACATGGCAAAACTTACAATTTATTTATACTGTGATATTAACTTTGTTAAATTTGTTTTAAGCAAACGACCTGTTAGAATTTATAAATTACAGTAAATTCTTAGGATTGGTAAAATTACACGTAAATTTAAACACACATCACAATAATAAAACTTCCTGAACATTAAGCCTGTTCACATATCGCCTCGTAAACATAACATAAGCGGAGAGATACACCAGAAGTTTTCGAAATTACTTCCGATTTTTGGAAGCTTGTTATTGTTTACATGCAGTCAACATATCCATAGTCCATACAAATAATAGAATTAGTGATTTAAAAGATTTTTTTAAATAAAAACCAAGGTTGGTTTTTGAAATAAAACTCAAGAAAAAAAAACATAATCGACAAGTTATTAAATTTTTTTAATTTCTACCCTTTGTTAGGAAAATTATTTGCGAAGATTTAAAAACATTCATTTACAAACATATGTAGGATATGTAAATATACTAGGGTATTTTTTGGTTCATATAATTTAGTCTCTGACCACATAAGTTTTTGAATTGAACATTTAATGTTATAAGTCAGTTATTAATAAATGTAACTACTAATAACAAGTTATGTTGGTTACACTTTCGATTATAGATTTTAAATGTATGAAGGGAGATCTAATAAATAAAATGTTATACTAAACAAAACTTTTTTTCTGCATTTAATTCAAGGTAATTAAATAAACTCTCAAAAGACGTAATATACTCCTGCTCATAGAGATGTTACACACATACACAGTATGTTATGTGTGTCAAACACAATATGTCTGTAACATAACATACAGTGTTGCTACAGAAACACTGTATGTTATGTTACACACATATTGTGTTTTGACACAGAGGAAAGTTCTTGATTACAAAACCATCTGTTTTTGTGTCTTTATTCGTACTTTATTCATTTTATCTTCATAACTAGCACTAATTATAACCTTTCCTTATTTAAACTTATGTCCAATATGAATATGAATTTATGTCCAATAATTTGTAGTTGACTACTAATAATTAAAGAAATTAATCTAAAAGATAAAGACAATAAAGGGAAAACAAAATCATTAAATAAATCACTGTAATATAAAATAATACTTTGTAATGATGTTGATAAAAACAAATTAAAGAAATAATATTACATACATAAAAACATGAAAAATATTCCTTGTAGATTTGTGTGATGGCGAGTTACTACAGTTACGGATATGATCAAAATATGAAACATCATAAGACCTATCAACCATGGTTCAGTCCAGTCAACCTATATTTAAAAAAATTATTAAATGTAAAATATAACACTTTTATTAATTTGTACAGTTTTAAAAATATTGATTTGTACTATAATATTAATTTGCATCAAATCATTAACTATGGATAACTTTTGTCCTCATGGTAAGTTTCTAATACATTACAGAACCCGTTATCTGGAAATCAGAAAACCGGAAAACCAAAAATCCGGAACGAAATTCGATAAATTTCCTCATAAGATTTTACGATTTTTCTTTCTTTTTTTAAAGATGTTTACCTTACCATCATTTTGGAAATAATCATTAGTGTATTAACCTACTTCATAATTTTTTCTTATTTTTAAGATTATTTCCAAATTTTTTTTTTTTACTTGGGTTTAACAATAAAAAAAAGGTTTTTTGTAGCGATTCAGAAAACCGGAAAAATCAGTTATCCGGAATAGCGATGGTCCCGATCGTCCCGGATAATCGGTTCCCTACTGTAATTATAATTTTTTAAGATAATTAAAAAACTTTTGCTAAAATCACAAACAGGTTTATTACATGTTCATACACTTCCGCATTAACTGGCGTAAATTAAAATTTCTAAAAATATTAAACAGAGTTAAAAAAAACTCTGAAATCATAGTATCTGCATGGGTGGGGCAAATATGATACCTGTTTTTCTAAGATTTTAGAAGGTCCTCTTTCAAAGATGTTAAAAAATAAATTTATTTTCAACCGTGAAAAACTTTCCTTTTGTTTTAATTAATTTAATTATACATTATAAGACACTTAAACAACTCATTTAAATACTTTTAGATTATTATTTCAATGTGATCCATAATCACAACATGCTTTACTAAGGGCCCTAAACTTAATTATTATTATTGGTAAAAATATAGTAATAGTATGGAAAATTCTAATTAATGTCCTCTCCCTTAAATGGTTTAAAAACATACGAATTTTTTTTAAAAAATCAATAAGTAAATGTAGGAAAAATTGTAAATAATATTTAGTAGAGATATTAACATTTTTTTATACAATCGATACAGAACAATCGCAAAGTCTTGGCAACTTCCAGGGAGCAACCTACAAGAAACTGAAAAAAAAAAAAGAAATCACAGAAAGGTATAACTTATAGCCACTCTCATGCAAACATTTACTTGCTTTCTTTTTAAAAGAAATTTGCGAGTTTAAAATTTATTTGGCATCTTGGCGATTGTAAATAGTGTGACAGATCGCATTAATATCCCCCATAAAGAGTCAGAAGGTACAATAACAGCAGCGAAAAGAGAATGTAGATGTCTTCTGCTGAAACTTTTTTTGTAACTATAACATTAGAACAAAATTTTAACATAAATTTAGAAATATAATAGTTAAAAAGAAAAAAAAAAGGTTGGACAACTTAAGTTTCAGTGCTTAAGAATCTTTTTTTACTTATTAAATTTGCAATGTGAAAAATATACGTTTTAGTGCAAATAGAGAATATAAATCCCATTTTATACAACATTTTTTCCCTCTTTTTTCAAAGAAGACTATTGATTTTAATCATAAGTTAGTATAATTTTAAATCTGGGAAGGATTGACACAGAGTTGAGCTTTAAAATAGAATAATTCAAAATCACAGATTCTCAATTAATAAAAATAAATAAATAACGCTATAAAAAATAAAGAGTTCACAGTAATAAAATACACAACAAATATCTATTTGGCAAACTTTAACAATCAGACATCATATTTTTAAATTTTTCAGTCAATATGAAAAGAAATGACAGTAAATGATTTAATAACTTAAAATGAAGTAATATTTAGATTTGATAAAAACTGTTTTTCAATGTCATTAAACCATTTAATGTATCATCTTTTTAATAACATAAAAAAAATCAAATAACTTGAAAAATATATATATTTAAATAGATTCATATGGATGACATCGAGGGTTGGGATGTTACATGAAAAAACTTACTTCTTTAAAAAAAGTTAGGGGTTCAAAAACTGTGTTATACATATTCCGAATAATTTTTTCATTTTCAGTTTCCATTTTAAAATATTTCACTTAAAATACGAATCTATCTATCAGTTATATTCTTGGGATTCTATTCCTATCTAAAAAAATAAAGAAGATACGATAAACATTAAATTTTTATCATATAAAAATGATAAAAAAATTCGTAAATATCTTCACTTTGTTTAGCTGAATTCACATAATTTTATATTTACATTAATTAAAACGATAAGGTTGTGATTACAATAATAAAATTATCAACATAACAACTTTTATAACATTAGTATGTTTGAAGAATGCTCACTAGGTAGCGCTACAACTGCTGAAGTATATTTTTAAAAAGTATTAATTTTTACTTAAAAAAATGAATAAATATTCTTCTGATTAGTAGTGATTATTTATAACCAATTCATTCATGCATTCTTTTTATTTTATTATTGAAATCTATTTATTAATGTTTTACTAAACAGAATTTGGCAGTCACTATTTCAAAATACAACTTTTACAGAATTTGTCCATGGTTTTGGTTCGAACTTCGAAATCTCAATCTTCCAAAATGATGGTAATTAAATGAGTGGTGATTGCTTTTTTTGATATTATATTAAACGTGGCTCCTAAATATTGCTCTAATTCTTCAATTGCTTTTATTTTATGTAATTTTATTTAAATACAGTTTTACAGAATTTCTGAATACTTATATGGAATTCAAAATCATTTCAAATTGAGGCAGATAACCTAAGTGCTTTTTTTGATTTGATTACAACACTAAAGGGTTATTTACTCTTTGAGAAAGTGCCTACAGTTACCTATTTAAATTTCATTGAAACTCGAAATTTGTTCGAAGTATTAAGACAAAGAAAGAAAAAAGTTAGCATTTCCATGCTTAGTTTGTATTTTTTATTTGAGTTTGGTATGGTTCATGTAGATTGTTTGGATTATAGTTGTTGTATATTTATTATATAATTTATTCTGCTTCTAGTAACATTCTCTCTATATAAGTACAAAAATATAGTTATTGCATAATGGAAAATGTGAAGATTTCTTACTGTTCTGTAAGTAAATTACAAACTGGTTGATATTTTATCATAACAGTAATTGGTAAAAACCTGGGGCAGATTTCATTTTTGATATTGGAGACATTTTATTAGATACTAAATCACGCATAATACTTGCATTATATACTACTGTAATTATGATTTATATTATAAATTACAGATAAAAAATGTAGCCGAAAATATTGAAACTATCAATAGGTTTTTCTAAAGATACTCTTAATACTCTAAGACCCTTATTATAACTATTTGGTTTATATTACAGGTAATAACTATGAATTGTTAATTATTATCAATTCAAATATTGATATTAAATCTTTTTAGTTACAATTTAGGCAGCTTTTTTAGATTAAGAAAAATTAAAGTGTTTGCCAATAATTGTCTGATCTTAACATATAAATTTTTTTTATTTATTGATTCTCAAAATTTGTTGTTATTAATAATATTCAAGGAAATAGAATCTGTCTAACCACGTGAACCAGGCTTTGGAGGAAATTCAGACAGACCTGGAGAAATTTTTGGTCTAAGAAAGTTCTTACAAAATTTTTTGTTAAAATATTTATTGCTTTTTCAAAACTTCTTCTTGTTAAAAAATATATCAACTTGTATATTTATTTGTTTGAGTTCCTTAAGTTTATAAGTGGGATCTTAAATTTAATTTTTATAAATTATTACTATTTCAATATACAGTGCTACCTCGAGATACGAGTGCCCTAACATCCGAGTTATTTAAGATACGAGCTGTCTGGCGAGCGAAGTTTTGTTTTGAGATGCGAGCGACAGTTGAGATACCAGGAACGGCCATGCAAACCCTTCTCGTCCTCGACAATGCTCCCGCTCACTCACCGAACCTCGAACGTGACATCCTCAAAGAATAGAATTCAAGTTTATAAAGTTTCTCTATCTACCACCTAACACCATTCCTATCCTGCAGCCTATGGATCAGCAGGTGATTTATAATTTTAAAAAGCTGTACTCTAAGCACCTGTTCCGGCGCTGCTTTGAGGTGACAGAGAACACAAACCACACCCCTCGAGAGTACTGAAAGGACCACTTTAACATCGTGATATGCCCCAGAATTATTGATCAGGCCTGACTGAGTGTTACAACGAGGACCTTGACTACTGCATGGAAGAAATGTGACCTGAGCCGAAAATTGTGCTGTCGCCTGAGCCTGTAGCTTCGAAGGATTCAAACGCGAAGTTCCAGTTGAGAAGATTGTGTCTCTGGGAAAATCCATGGACTTAGTGATGGGTGAGAGAGAGACATGAACGAGCTTGTCGAGAAGCACTCTCAGGAACTGACGACCGAGGAATAACAAGAGTTACAGTCGCAGCAGCATTCTGGGGTTCTGCAAGAAATTGGTTTCGAGGAAGACCCAGAGGTGAAGGAGTTTATCTCTACAAGTGAGATAAAAGAGTTCTTAGGAATGTGGGAGAGAATTTTACAATTTGTGGAAAAGAAGCACACCGAAAAAGTTGCAAGTTGTCGTAAACGGAGCTATTTAATGACACTTGCCTAACACATTTCTGCTACATTCTGAAAAGGAGGAAGAAACAAACCTCCTTGGACAGTTTTTTTTAAAATCCAGCTAAAAAAGCATAGACCAGTGAAGAGAAAATCAGTGACTAAAATTAAGCATACAGTAGTATTTAAGTTGTGTGTAAGTTGTATTTAAGTGACCAAAATACAAATATGTATGTACACTTTATAAAAACAGTTTTTTTTTGCTTTACATTCTCTTTTATTATGTTTTCTTACAATATTTGTCTTTTATCAACAAATTTTTCTTATTCAAAAACGCATAACAAAAAAAACTGGGTTAGTAATTTTGAGGCTGGAACGGATTAATGGCATTTCAATTAATTTCAATGGGGAAAATTGCTTTGAGATACGAGCAAATTGACATACGAGCAAGGTTACGGAACGAATTAAACTCGTATCTCGAGGTATCACTGTACATACANAGAATTGTATGAAATCAAATGAATTTTTTTCTTATATAAATTTTATTTTCCAAAAATATTTTAAAAAAAGTTAAAGCTAAAATTTTTGGTGAAATATAGATCCAAAAAGAGAGAGCTCTTAAAATTTTCTGCACTCCTGCTTATATTTCCATTATTAGTGAACTAATTATAATTTTTAAAAATGTAGCTGTTTGTTTAAATGAGTTAATAACTTTTTCAATCTATCAATTCAAGGATATAATTAAATTATTATTAGTATTTAGTATAGTTATTAAAATAAATGTCTGAGTTACATGTTATTTTATTATGTTATAATGGCTTTAGTAGGTATGTCTACATTATGGTCTATGCAGGTTAGCATCAATCAAAAGAATAGTTTTGAATTTCGATCTTATTCTTTCAAAACTGAAAAGTGAACTTTAAGTAGGTTCTAAAGGCTTCAAAACTCTCCCTCTTTATTATTTTTTTTTTTGGATGCTTTTGGGAAAGGAGGAGTTAAAATGAGAGTAAATTGAAATTGATTTTTCCTTTAGTGAATAAGATGATTGTTGAGTGTTTTTTTTACTGAGTTGATTGTTTTGTATTTTCATTCTCAATAATTTAACACATTAACAGATTGGATAAATTGCAATTTTATTCATAATTATTTAACATTTTCTACATCAAAATTCGGGTTTTTGATGGTATTTGTCAAAGCAAAAAGAGTTTCATTCTACTATAATCAGGGGTCTGTTCAGGCAAAATTTACTAACGTTTAGCAGTACCTCCACAAATTCAACTTTAGGAAAAACAGTGTTTCACAAAATACTTTTTCTTAAAATTTTCTTTCTGTATCCTTTAAGTAACAATAAATCCATATTTTTTTGTAGATTTTTTAATATAATTTTCACAAATTATGTCTAAATTTTCACAAAGTAGGTACCTCTAAAAAAAAACTAGACAGACCCCTGATAATGTATGTTTATTTATAAAGACTTCATATTTATAATAGCTAATAATTATCCTTACGCCAAAATTTTGGTTTTTGACATGAGGGATAAAAGTATGGTTAATACTGGATAAAATTGTCAAAAGTCCTGCTATTTGATAACTTCACAGTTCATATTTTCGAATTATTAAAGTATTCTTTTTAGTTTTTTTATTTACTTGCATAGTGGTTTTGAATATGCAACTTAAAAGTTTGAGTTCCAAATGTATTTTTTTTTCTTGTGTACTTTAAATTTTATTGTTATGTAATTTTTTTAGAAAACTAACTTTTAAATATTGTTATTTATATTATTATTTGATATTTAGGTTTGTTGCTTGCTCTGAAAGGAAGATTTAGCTTTTGAAGTACTATATTTAACAAGTATTTCAGTTGGAAGAGAATGCAAGAATCTAAACAAAGGTATTTGTGATAAAATGTTTATTATTATTCAGTTATATTTAGTGAACTATGCATTTTATTTTGTTTCATTCATAATTTCCATATAATAAATTCCAAATATTTCAATATGCGTCAATCAAATTATTTTTAAATAATTTAAAAAACTTTTTTGCATTGAGGATATGATAATTTTGAGAAAGTGTTTTTATTTCCTTGCGATTTTATTCAGGAATGCAAAATAATGAAATCAATACAGTTTAGTATACAGTTTTTTTTTTAGTATACAGGTTTTTTTTAAAAACAAAACAAAAAAAAAACATTTTCTTATACAAGTTGTGAACGGACAAAGCTAATTCAGTCTAGCTGACTTGAAAAATGTAGCATTTAAAAAAAACAATTTTTTAAGTTTTTATACATACAGTACACTCTCCATTATCCGTGCGTGGATTATCCGGTTTGCGGATTATCCGTGCCCATTCCGGAGTCACACGAAAAATATAAAGAGAAACATTTTAAAGATTAAAAAAAAAATATTATTCATGAAGTTATAACACTACTAAATTTTTGGAAGCAATATTCGTTAGTGGATTGAAGTATATCGAATATCAGCAGCATGGTCAAAGGTAAAATCGTCTACTTTATCACGATCTTGGAGAAAGATAATATCGCTTGATGAGCAATCTTCTTCAGATGTTCAAGAAAAATATGATAACAATATTCTCAAACAAGCAAAAGAAATCTGAGGTTTCGAAATTCTTGATGAAGAAAATTTTGAAGATTTGTTTCAAAGTGATGCATGTGAGCCTGACTTCCAGTATTTGACAGATGGAGACATCGTTATGTTGTTAAATCAATTAGTGATGATAGTAACTGATTCAGAAGATGTAGTAAATGAGGGAAATACAATTTCTATTTCTGCTGCTCTGTGGAAATTTTATTAGATTATTTGATTATGGTGACATTACTGCGGTTCGTAAAACATGTGTAAAACATATGACGAAGACGCATTACACAATTTTTTAAAAGAAAAATTCCTAGTTTGATGTTATACAGCATGCAAATGTCAGTAATTTTTATATTTTTTGTACTGATATTGATTTTTTCTCTAATTAAGAGAGTTTTAGGACTATCCGTGTTTTTCGATTCTCCGTGCTCCCTGTCCCGGTGATTAACCCGGATAATTGGGAGTGCACTGCATATGTAAGGAGCTGTGCAAAAGTTATATATAAACGTAGATATTTTTCTTGCTCTTAAATCTTTAGGTGTATCATCTTAAAGTATTAAAGCATCTTTAAATAAGGAAGAAGAAAAAAGAGAAGATTTTCTGAATTCTTTCAGTTGCCTAACCCACGAAATATATTTTTTTCCGTACAAGATTCAAGACTCAAGATCAAAAGCCAAGATATAAAATTACTTATTTTAATAACTCAACCAGCTCCCTCTTTTTTTTCTTCATGTTCTTTTTCATTAAGCTTTTCTCATGCTTTTTCTCATCATGCTAATGTGTGCACTTTTAAGTTACAGAATTCTTTAGATATTTTTACCGAAAATTATGTGGATTTGTTAACTAAAATATTAAATGTAAGTTGATATTTATCTAAAAAAAAATCACACAAAGTGATATATTATTTTTTGGACTGTCTCTAAACAATGTCTCTTAAGTTTCCGTGTAATTAAAAGCTTAGTTGGCAAACTATTTTTTTTAAAATTATTTATTTTATTTATTAAAAAAATATTTTTGCTTTGTCTTTTCCAGAGTTCTCTCTAGGAATAAAAAAGGGTAGTTTGCCCTCTCTCAGAAAATGCAACTTTGAGTTTTATAAGGGCGCTTACTTAACACCGTAAAAATTTATCAAAATGTTTAATTTTATGTAATAACTGAATTTTATCCTCAACCAATTTTAAATACCTTCAAATACTATTTTCTATGTATGTTTAAAATTATTTCTCTCTCATTATCGAAATAAGAGAGAAATAAATTCTCTTCTCTCCAAATATGTTTATTCTTTATAATATATATATTCTATATATTCTCTCTCATTATCATAAAAAGAGGTAAGAGGCTTCTTTCTATAATTTAAACTGAATTTTAAAATCACTTAGAAATTTATTAATATCCTCTCCTGAAAAAAGTAAACATTTAACCAGTTAAGAATAATCCTAACGAAGTGAATATTTGTAATAACAATCATAGCCTATAAACATTAATTTTACCTGGGTGTAATTATTATTTAAACTGTTAATTAATCTTTTTCAAAATGAAACATGAATAAAAAGCCAGTGTTTTTATTGGGATAGTGACTTATTTTTATAAAAAGGGCCAAGAGGATGCATTAATTGAGATCCACAGGCAAACAAGGCAGGTCGGCCTTCTAAAAACGCTTAGGGAGTCTTTTCTTTACTTTAAAACATCTTTTAAAAACTGTCTTTTCTTTAAAACATCTTAATAATTTTTTTCAACTAGTACATTTCCTTCTATTTTCTTAAATATCTTTATTTTTCTTCTCTTCTTTATAGAAAAAATTATCGCAAAACTGTTAGCCCATTATTTTCTGATGCTAAAAATATTCCAAGGGCTTCAAGACATCACAGTCATTCAGGTAAGAAGACGCATTTTACTAAAAAAAGAACGCACGAAGAAGCAAAGACAAAAGTCAAAAAGAGTAGAAAATGGCAAACTTTTAACCATGCTACTTTGAAACATACCCATTGTGCTTCAAATTATGTAGGATCTGAAAGATTAACAAAACAGGTTGGATTTTTAACAAAAGGTAAAATTTCTGATTCTATATCTCGATTAGAGAAAATAATTCCTAGTAATTTGAAGGCACGGACCAACCAAGATTTGCACAGAATATTGAAGTCTGCAAATCAATCTCAACATTACATGCCCTCTAGTTTCTCGGAAGACGATTCATTGGAGAACAGTTCACCTAACTGTTCAAATCCTTGCAATGAAGTAAACAATTCTCCTATGAAATGTTTCACTAGTCCCCCACGCCAACAAGAAACTTTTATTTCTAAAATAAATAAAATGGCTCAAACAACATCCAGTTTACTTCAAGAAAATTGTTCTGTTTTACTTGATAATGATTTTCACGTATCTGCTCTGACTGTGACTGATACATTGTATCCAGTTATTGCTAACACAAATAAACAAATCTTTAAAGAAATTTCTAATCTAGGAATACTAAGAAAGGAATTGTTAAGCATTAAAATGCGATATCATTTAGATGAGAAGACTCCTTCTAGTTCTAGTAATAATGATTCCTCGCAAGACGTTTTGAAATCTTCTGATGATAATTTTGAATTGAATCCAATTTTGACCCAAGAAGAGTGTCCTCCTGAAATTTTCAAAAAAAAATTTGAATTAAATCCTATTTTAACTCGAAGTCCAAGAACTCCTAAAGATTTAATGCACCTTTTTCCTAGTGTTCAGAATAACAGTTTGAGTAGCATAGAGGAGGCGGAGAAAGATAATGAGGACGATAATTCATCTCATTCAATGAAAAGTATCGTTGATTATAATTTTTTAGAGCAAAAATCCTGTTCTAGCTCTGATTTTGATGATAAACATATGACATTAGTACCACAAACTCCTTCTTCAAATGGTAGTCCAGCTTGGGTACCTGTTGTATCACCTATTAAGTTTGAACCTAATTTTGCACCTACACCTAAATTGTATTATAGACAAAAAATGTTTTAAATAAGTTAAATTTTTTATTAATTTTAATATTGTAAAATGTTCTTAATTTTAACTTCTCAGGTTGAAGGTAATTTCACTTCACCTAAGTAAATCATGCCATTAACTTGTGTTAAATTAATTTCACCTAAGCTACAGCTTATATTATGTTATAGATCTATATATATCTAATATTATAATTTTTTCTTCAAGCATTATAAAGTACTGGACTTAATGTTGAATTTTCAGATGTAAATATAATTCTGTTTAGCTTGAATAAATATCTAAATAACAGTTCAAAGTATTTTTTTTTTATTGAGACATACTTAAACTGCATTCAAAATGAAAAAAAAATATTGTTGAGACGCTAGACTTAAATCAGGTATGTGATAGTAATTTCAATAATTTTATCAAATTTAATGCACAATAAAGAGCCAAATATGATCCTTTAATAGTCAATATGAGGGCGTCATGCATTCCACTAAAAAATAATTGAGAAAAAAACTCTACTCAACTAACAGAAAATTTTATTATTTCCCAAACTAATTTTAATAAGTACTGAATTTCAACATTAAAATTCCAAACTGTTGAGGTATATTAAGTAAATGCAGAGGTATAATGTACCAATATATTGGAACTAAAATTTTCTATAACTGAAATGTCTCAACAGCCGTCGAAAGCATATCAAAAATGTATTTTAGGGGTTTAATTAAAAATGTACATTAGGGGTGCATAATCTTTTTGAGTGAAGAGCCACTTGTACAGATTGAATAACGAAGTGCCGCACTCGTGTTTAGACATGTTGACGGCAAATATGGTAGTTTTTGTTATGGTGTTCTAAGCACTACAATTGGTAATGTATTTACAAAAAATTAAATTCTTCTAATTATTAGAATTATTTTATTTTCATTAGATTATTTTTATTATTAGGATAATTAAAATTCATTTAAAAAACTAATATTTTTTTTCTCTTTATATAAAAATTTATACATCAAAAAAATATACATACATATATATTAGGGAAAAGAAATGTTTTTTTCTTTTTTTAAATATCATGGTAATACATAAGTTTATTTTAAAATAAATTCTAATAAATAAAAAAATAAAAAACTCACAGAATGAAAATATAAAAAAAAGATATTTTAATGAGTAATATAAATTCAAATTAAATATTTAAATTAAAGAAAATTTATAGGGTTTAAGCAGAAACAAAAAATTAAAATAAAGTCATTATAGTACAAAATAAGATTCAATATTTGGCATTATTCTTCAGATATTTGCATTTTAAATTATTAGAGTAATTATTTTAAACAGGAAATGTTTTTTGCACAGGACAGGAAAAGCACAGCGATAAATGCTTTTAAATAAAGAAGGAAAAAAAAATAAATAATTTAGATTTATGTTGAAATTGGCATAAAAAAAGCTTGTCAAAAAGTTATAAATTAATTGTCTGATTTATAACTCGCGATATATCATATTAAATGTATTAGGATTTAAAAAACCACATGGAAATTAGTAGTTATAGCTGTCAAAATAATGATTGAAAATTACTGGATTTATGATGAAATCTGCAAAAATAAAAATGTCAAGTGATTATTCAAATTTGAAATTCTAGTATTGTAATATCACATTAGCTGGTTTTGTGTTTGATCCCCCAACAATTTCAGGGATTGAATCTCCAATGCAGGAATAAATATCTTAACAATCAGGTCTTTAATTTTGTTGGTAGGTAAAAAAAATTCTTTAACATTACTCTTTGTTTCAAGCTATTCTTTAACCTTAGTATAAAGAAGAAAAAAGGTTTACTTTCTATCAAAAATTTTCAAGATCTTCTGAAGCTTTAAGGTAATATAAATTCCTTCTTTTTTTTGTAAGAATTTAATCTTTTAACATCCACTTTTAGAATGGGGGATCTAGGTTTTAACATACAATTTTCAAAAAGTTAAAGATTGAGTTCAGGATGTGAAATTTCCATTTTTGTACTTGTAAATTTGAACATGACTTTAAGTAAAATCCAAACACTGGAAGGGCAGAGCTTCCTCTACATTATTTTCCTGTATTTGCGTACTTTGCATGCACTTCTAAAATGTCCCTGTTGAAAGTCCTACAACTTTTGAATGTGTTTGGTTACAGTTGATAGGTAGATTTTATGGACTCACAGGTTTAAATTATTGAAGCAATCAACAAATATGTTGTGCTTACACACTCAGGTGATGCTTTTAGTTTAGGCAAAATATCAAGTTTAAGAGCAAAAAATTATGAATATTCATAAAATTTAAAATCTGATTTATGTGACTATTTTTCTTTTTCTTTAACTAATGAGATGAAAAGATTTTGATTTGAAACATTTAATTCTAATAACAGCTGTTTTTCCAACGTTTAGTGACTAAACCATTTCCCACTTTTTTTTTTTGACCAATTCAAAAATATATAAAGATTTCTGAATCCTTAGGGAATGGTTAATGTGTAATCATTGTAGATTTTAATGTTTTTTATTTTTTCTAATTTAAAAAAAGGAGCCATAATAGCATGATTGTTCAGGCACTAAACCGTCATTACAAAAGACCAGGGTTCTTTCTCCAGTGTTGGCTTGAAGCCAATCCTGCTTTAGATTGATAAGTTTCAGTTTGTCTGTCATGTAAATGAAGCTGGTGCTTAATGCTTATCACATTGTCTTCACAAGCGCTCAAAGGTGTTTAAAAACTTAACCTTAATAATCCTCAACAACGAACAATTTACTGTAGTAGGAGTACTTTACTTTTAAATTTATAAAATTATTTTAAAACTCCTTTCATACATAATATTATATTAAACAATATATGTTAAAATTTATGTGTCACAGTTGTTAAACCTGTGAGCGTAGATTCATCAGACAAGGCAACAAAGTTTGGACAATCTGAGAATTTTTTTTTTTTTTTATTCAAGAAAGCCAGCAGCTTAAAATTTGGAAATAGCTAGAACTCATGCTGAGATGTTTAATAAATAAAGTACCCTAATGAATCAAATTATTAATCTTATATTTTGAATTTAAAAAAAAAATACTTATATGAAGTTGCTTACTTTCTTTAAATGACTAATGTAAGTTATCTTTAAAAATTTTGGAGTTCATGTTGTCTGAGTAATATTTGTATGCTTAAAATAACATTCCTTGTATTATATTATTTAACTTAAATAACTAAATATTTGATCGATATAATTTTCTAGGTAATATGAACTAGATGCAAAGGTTCATCCAAAGACTGTGTCAAAATTCATTGCTCAAGACTTCGAAAAATTTTCCTTTTGTGATGGAAGGCTCTAACAGAAGGATCTTGAGATCCAGAATCCCTGCTAAAACTGATACTGAAACTATAGTTGAGAAAAAAACCCCAAAGAAATCGACTGTTAAAACTCAGTCAACAAAGAAACCACTTTCTGAAAAAATAAAGAAACAAAAGGATAAAACCGTTGTAAAGAAAGAAACAATCAAATCAGAATATTTTGAAGACAAAGAAAAGCTAATCAAATCAGAAGTTCAATCAGAGTACAAGGCCAAACTTATTAAACCAGAAATTCAATCAGATTATGCAAGCAACACCACTAGAAAAAGAGTTGCCATCACCACAGAAGAGGGTTGTTCTGTTAAACCAGAGAAGGCCATTAAAAAGGAACCAGAAAGTGTCTCGGATATTGAGGATGGAGTCTGGAAACCGGAAAACTGGAGACAAGTATTAGATAACATTTTAAAAATGCGTAAAATGTATGTTGCTCCTGTGGATAGTTTAGGTTGCGAAGAATGCCCTGAGGAAGGAGTACTGCCCGAAGTAATGTTAATTTATTTTTCTGTGTTCATTGTTATGTTTTTATGTAATGTTTATTAGTAATAAGTTGTTACTTATTCTATATTATGTTCTAAGCCTAAATCTAAAACATTTAATACAAATTCAAGTAATTAAACATAATTTAAAACCTTTAATGCCATAAAAGTTGCTTAACCTTCAGTACTAGTCAAGATCCTAGTAACTGAACATGTGTTCAGTTACGTGTTAGAATTTTCTACATTATTCTTAACACCTCCACCATTAACCCCTTAAGGCATGAGTTTTTTTTCCAGAAGAACTGGTAAAAAAAAATATTTTTTTTTGTTGTTGACAGAAAATGAATATATAGGTATAGTGTAAGTTATTTTTTTTAATTTCACTTGTGGGAATGACTAGGGAGTGGGAGTTGGTATCAAAGTTAAAAGAAAAATGACATCAAGGATTAAACAATTTGATTATCTACTGTACAAACAAAGATTAAGCAATTTGATTACAGGTTTATTTTCAGTTTTGAAATATTAAAATCAAATTAAATCAATATATCATTTAATAATCAATGAATTAAATTAATAGATCAAATAGCTAATCATCAAAATACACCACATTTATAACGTAAGAAAATGCTGCATAGTGGTGTCATCTATGGTAAATAAATTTAACTATTATCCAGACCATTCATTTTTACTAGAGTGGATCTCAGACGGCATTAGAAATAAAATAACTCGAGATACAAGATTGCCCGTGTTTCACACGGGCATGTGCAAATTTGCCGGTAATTTTAAAATATGTGGCTTAATTAGTGCAAATCTACGCAAAACTGTTTGTAGTTTAAATTTGATTCTAATTTTTTTAAAAAAATTATGGAAAAGAATAAATCTGTATAAAAGTCAAACTGTATAAAACACAATTACATTATTGAGTTTCTTTTAAAATTACTGGTCCTTACTTTTTACTGAGTTATATTATATTTTATTTTAGCCGTGTAATATTTTGCCCTACAACTTATGTTACTTTATTTGTTAATTCATTCAAATGTTTTATAATTTGAATTGAATTTTTTTTTCTTATAAGAAATTGCTTTTTAGTTTATTAATCTAAACCAAAGTTGTAAACTGCTGTACATAATTTATTATTTATTTTTGTTTAAAATTGAATTAATAATTTTTTAATGCAATACATTCCAATTTCAATGCACCGAAAGTTATAAGCTTTTTTGTTAAAACTATTTGTAAAGTATTAAATAAAAATTAATATGAACTTTCATCACTTCATACTCCATTAAGCTCAATTAGAGTGCAGAAAGTTATAAGATCTTAAATCATCCTTCTAATGATTAATTGTATGTAAATCACATGTTTTTTAATCGTAATTTTAATGGAGATAATCTTCATTTAAATGACTTTAAATGATATATTTTTTAAATTATCTGTTAGGATCTGTATACTTTAGTAAGAGAGATTTCCATATCATGATCTGTGGCAGAATAATCGTTTAATCCTCGCAATTTCCGGGCAGCTGCCCGCAAGAAACTGAAGAAACATCACAGAAAGCAACCAACTGAAAAGGTATAACTTGTAGCCACACGCGAGCAAACATCTACGTGTTTTATTTAAAAAAAAAAAATTGCAAACTTAAAATCTATTTGTCACCTCGCGATTGTAGTTGATGTAACAGATCATAATGCGAAATATCCCCTTTAGTATTCCTTTTTAGTTATTTCATTTCTGAGTGACTGCTAATGTTTTCATTTCAGGTGTTTCGATATCAGACATTAATATCTGTGATGCTATCAAGTCAGACACGAGACGAAGTTACATTTGCAGCGAGCCAACGTCTCATTGAGCATGGATTGACTGTTGATAACATTCTCAACACTCCGGATGAAAAAATTGGAGAACTTATTTATCCTGCTGGTTTTTGGAAGGTGATCATTTTCTTTATTTTATTTTACCTTGTGATATTTGCATGGATGCTTTGTTTATTGAGTGGATTGTTTATTGAAGATTGCTTTGTTAATTAAGTAGTATAATGTAATCATTTAACTGCACTGTAACATAATAATTTAATATGTATATATATTTAAACTTTTTGATTTAGTCGCAACACATTTTCTGAACTCTTTTTCCGATTTCTTAACTTGAATTACTCCTTGAGCAATTCCACCATTTATGAATGTTATATTTGCTGACTTCATAAGCTTATAAATTAAGCTAGTAAAAAATTAGAGCAGTTTTAATATTTTTTGTAAAACTAATAGACGTTTTATAATTTTTTTTTGCTATTTACACTTTCTTCAATTTTTTGAAACTTCAAATGTTTAAAAAATGTTTTAAAATTAAAAGTTATGTATGTATTGGATGGTAAATTTTGAATTAAGCCTGTAACACTCAGTTTTTAATTTTTTAAAAATTTTAATCTAATAAATGTGACAAGAATTGAGAGTAAGTTAGTTTTAAATGACTCCAAAACTTATTTTGTTTTGGAAAAAATATTAAAAGTATTTTTTTTTTAAATGAGTTATATGCTTTCAAAATTTTCAAATAGCACATTCCTAAATGGTGTAATTACCATTTTTTTTAAAAGTTTGTCAATTTAAGTGCTAAATTACAAACAAAATTTATTATTGCTATTGCATATGAAATTATTATCGCATATTAATATCTACAAATATGACATTCCTAAATGGTGTTATTGTCTCTTTTGAAATTTTGTCAGTTTGAGTGCTAAATTACTTACAAAAATTATTATTATTACATTATTTATAATGATGAAACAGAGAATATCTCATGACTATGATTTTTATCAAGATTTTAATTGCATAGTAAAACTTTAAACTATATTTTTAAAATATATTTTCAGTCTAAAATCAAATTCATAAAAAATACTTCTCAAATATTGAAAGACAAATACAATGGAGATATCCCGAGGACATTTAAAGAATTGATCAAGTTACCAGGTGTTGGTCCAAAAATGGCCAATATTGTTATGAGTGTGGCTTGGAATGATACAGTGGGAATAGCTGTGGACACTCATGTTCACAGAATATCCAATAGGCTAGGCTGGGTTCCAAAGCCTACTAAAGACCCTGAACAGACTAGAAAGGCTTTAGAAAGTTGGCTTCCAAAGTATGTAGATTTAATATTTACTACTTATTGAAACCTTTTTGTGTAACTTATTTTTTATTTTTGAGTACAATCTCGGTCGATTGTTTCTCACGGGACCATTAAATGCAAGCGTAAATAGATATGGCAAAACAACAAATGTGAGTCAACATTAAATGTGAAATTGAAAAAAAATTAAAGTACTAATTGGGATGTAATGGACTTGAAACTGGTAAATTTGCAATAAGTATAAAAAATTATGCTCTTACTGTGAAAATACAGTACGAAGTCCTATATCCGGACATCTGTTTGCCGGGAGAGTCTATTTTCGGGACACTTTTTAACAATCAAAATAAATATAACTCTTCCCTTTTCGAAATTTTTTTTGACACTTGTACCTTATTAAGAAAAAAGTATGTATAAGAGTCGTCTACTTTTCTGCAGATTTCCATTTTATTATTTTTTCCTGGACTTCTGGTTTTCATCCAGTTTAAATCCAATTGTCGCTGCAATATGAAAAAGAAAATGGATATCATGGAAATGAAAATCTGCATTTTCCTACAGATTGAAAAACTCTCATATTTTTTTTCTCACGTCGATTAACAGGTCACATTAAAGGATTATTACTGTCTAAAACCACTTGCTCAATTTAATAGTGTGCAAAAATTTCATAATTTGGAATGACAATTTCATAATGACTAAAGCGAGTCATTAAGTGATTCTTCAAATGTGCGATTCAGAATCTGCGGATCGCAATAATATTGTATTAAAAATGAAATTGAAATTTTAAAAACTGTGTGGAAATTCTAAACTGTAGGAAATGGGGTCCATAAAACCATGCAGACAATAAAATCGTCACAAGTTTAGTGCATCAAAAAGTTCTACAAATGTGCAATTCAAAATTATAAATGCAGTAATAAGCTTTAGCAGCAACTATGAAAATCAATAGCAGTAACTGATAAAAATGCAATTGTAAATCCATGTTGGATTGCAGGTGAATCGTCAATGCGAAATTTGCCGAAAGAAATAATATCAAATTGAAAATTGAGATTTTAAAAACAAAGGGAAAATCCTTTTTAAAAACTACCAAAAACATTAGGCAAAACCACACAGATTTACTGTGGAATCGTCGCTAATCGAGCAGACGGAAAAATTATTACAAACTGAAATGTGTAATTCGAAATTTGCAGTGTGTTATAATAGCATATTAAAATATTAAGATTTTAAAAACCGTGTGGAAATCTGTAACAAAACCTATGAAAATAACGCAACCACACAAAACGCGTGGATTTATTGGTTGTTGATTGAAAATGAGGTTAGTTTTTGTCCATTTTATTTTTTATTGAATAAGGAAGTTTTGATGTCTGTTTACTTTAAAGACCTATTATCTGGGAAAATCTTATTTACAGACTTGCTTAAGTACTGGCCATTCCGAATTTGTGACTTTCCACTGTATTTACAATGCAAAAGAAAGATTTAAAAAAAAACACATTTATTTATTTGAAATATTTGGAAGTATTAATTTGTAAGATTTTTCTATAAAATTAATTTGTGAACTTAAAATGTTTCCTCATTGTTTCAAAAGCTCTTAGGTCAATGCTAAATGCTTGCAATGGTTTTGCTTCTATTTTACCCTTTTCATCAATATCAGTTTGTACTTCAAGTACTACAACTTTTTGTTGAACCGACGTGTGTAGATTCCTTTGGAATTTTTTAAAATATAAGCAGTCTACAGTTTTGTACCTATGATCACATATAAATTTACTGCTAGTGTGTTTCTATTTATTCTAACACATTAAAATTGTTAACTTATAAAAATTTATCTAATGGTATTATCATTCAATACTTTATTATCATTGCTATTTTAATAAATACTAACTATAAATCAAATGAATTATTTTGACTTTCTATTTAACAAAGATATCTTGTATTAAAATTGGATAAATTATTAAAAAGTTAAACATTTTATTCTTGAAAAACAATTCATATTTACTTTGAGTTTTAATAGATAATGATAATTTTTTGAAAATTTATTTTTATAGCGATAAAACTTCAACTAATTCATAACTTTCATAAACTTCAACTATTAAAATATGAAATAGTGGTACATTTTATGATGTATATGAGTATATAAGTTTCTTTTTTGTATAAATATATGAAAAATTTTAAAATAGCTCTAATTTAAATCATATAAATCTGGAACATTTTTCTTTTCAAATTTTCTCTGGAAATATCAAGGAATTTGGTTTTATCTGGAGAGTGGCCACCCTGTTTTCTACAGATTGAAAAAACTTCAGTTTCTTCATCTTTAGGATAAAAAATTACTGTTTTTTTTTATTATTTCTAAAACGAAATAAATTAATTTTTTAAATTAGCTTAGTTTTATTTTCAAATGTCAGTAAGGCTTCTGAATAGGACTGTGCAATATTAGAAATTATATATCGTGATGCATCGTCAGCTTTGCATCACGATATGGCGATGTATCGCGATATAGTATTTTTGAATTTCATTTACTTGTAAGGCACAGAAAGTCAGACTTCATACTCAGATTGATTTAAATCAATTTATAAATTTGAAGATATATATGTTTTGCTTAAGAAAGATATTAAATAAATTGACTACAATGTACAAATCTTACTTAAAATATTTATTGAAATGTTTGTTTAGAAATTCATAATACGCGTAAAACAAAGTGTTAAAAACTTTTTTAAAGCGTTTTTTACAAATTAATATTTTCTTGTACTATTATGCATAAATAATTACATAATTATTAAGTTCGATCGTAATGTTCAATTTCTAAATGAAACGTTAAAAATTATTTGTATGTTTAAAACAAAGTGCTAAATAAATTTTAGAAAAAAAAAAAACGCTTTTAAAGCACTATTTTTTATTATTATCATTTCAGTTATTATAGTTCTATTATAGTTCATTTACGTCACACTAGAGCTGCACAATGGGCTATTGGCGACGGTCTGGGAAACATCCCTGAGGATGATCCGAAGACATGCCATCACAATTTTGATCCTCTGCAGATGGGATGGCACCCCCGCTTCGGTAGCTCGACGACCTGCACGCGAAGTCGAGCACTTTACGGTAGAACAGTTTAACGAGGACCAATACCGCACACCCTCGGTCCCTACGCAGACTGATCCAAGTGGTCACTCACCCGCACACTGACCGCAGCCAGTGATGCTTGACTTCGGTGATCTGCAGGGAACCGTGTCTTAACGATCAGTCCACTGCGGGACCTTATCATTTCAGATAAATAATTAAATTAAATTAAATAATGACCGAATTATGAACGAAAAACAAAGTAAGATTTAATTTCTTAAAAATAAAAAAATTGTGATATTCGATAATATATTTAGCTAATTAACAAATAATATGAAAAGAATATTTTTTAAAAAAAATTATTATACTCTCTAATAAAACGAAGTGCTAAATGATTTAAAAAAATGAATAAAATACGCAAACCTTTCAAATTTTTTTGTATAAACAAAGTTGATTGACTTATGTCCAAATCCAAATGACAAAAATAAATTTTGTTTTAACTTTATTTCTAAAAATAAAAACAACAAGATTTATAAATTTAAAATCAGTAATAAAAACTCATTAAATTATTAGAAGTTTCATCCAAAAAGTTTTTAATAAATTAAAAGAAAGTAAAAAAATAACCTAACAAATTCAATTCTTTATGGGCGCCTAAATTAGATTGCCGATAATTTTCACATTTAAAAATAAAAAGAGGTTTTTTTAAAAAAAACTTATCTAATTAATGAAGAAACTCTTCTTTATATATTCTTTTCAATAATAGATTGCCTTCAGAACAAGGTAACATCGGCGATCACGAAGTTAGTCCCACTGAAAATAATCTACAAGAAAAGTTGCGACAAGGAAAAAAAAAGCTTGGAGGTGCGAAAAGGAACATGCGATATAACGATATGCGTTCTCATAACTCTGATTCTAATTCTACAGCTCACCAATCAAGGCCATTTCAACATAACGAAATGAACATTGTCTTCCACAGCGCGAGTCGACATCGGAGCGTAAGAGAAGAGTCTTATATCGCTATATCGTTATCTTATATCCTTGCGTGTCTTATATCACTATATCGTCTTGTGCTCGTTGTCTTTACTCGACGGCTTGAATCTGATTTCTGATGCATCGCCTTGAATGAAAGTCGCTGTATCGTCTTGCCGATATATGCGTTAAATCGATATGTATCAATACATCGATTTATAGCCCAGTCCTACTTCTGAATGTTTGATTGGTGATTTGCTAATTTCAAATCAGTGAGGTATTTTAAACATTATAAGACTATCATTTGTGACAGGACTATTAACCCTCCTACGCAAAATTTTTATTAAACTTATTTTCCTTACTTTTATCATTATTTTGTATTAATTTAGGTCAAAATAACTGAAAAATATTATCTTTAGCATTTTAATAATTTGTGGTTAGGAAATACAGCATGAAACACTGGTGTCTCTTTCTGCCTTAAAGGCACCAGTGTAAAGGCAAAATTATTGTTTGGAAGTGAGCCATGTTTCAAACATGGCTCACTTCCAAACAATAATTTTTAAAATTCACACTTATTTGAAGTTATTTGGATCTAAGAGAAACAGTTATTCATCACTGAAATTTCTTTAATTTAAAAAAATCAAATGTTGATAAGTTTTTGAATATGAATGAAAAAAAAAATTAACTACTTTTTTTTGCGTTTCATATTTTAGTACATAAATAAAATTCTTATGAACTACCGGATTTTTTTTAGTAACTATTAGACTGTTTCTAATATATAAAAAATACCAAAAATGTTTTTTGCTTGTAATTAAAGCGTCAGAAATAAATTATATAAAAGAGATATCTTTGTCCCATCCGCGTTAAAGGAAGGTAATATATATCTTAAAATAAAATGTGTGGAAAGGATGGATTGAGATTTGACTCAGAGATGCCAACTGCTCCAGACAAGACAGAATATTTTAAAAGGCGGTAGAGAACCAAGAACTAAAATGTGCGGATTTTTGGTTAACTTTACCGACTTTTAAGAGGCTCAACACGGCTGAACTGCAGCAAAGAAGCGTTTAACTTAAACCTTTTATTTATTAGGTAGTGGTATGTAAAAACCTTATAAATCGAATTTATTAAACCAAGTATCATACATTAAAAGACTACCGCTCGAAAATATTTATCCCCTGTCCGGAGCAAGTTGGCATCTCTTTTAACTTCATTCATTGTTATGTCTATCAGAAGGAATTAAAGAGCTGAGCGGTGAAGGGTCTAAGCAACATTCTTCTTAATTGGTTATTTCTTAACACTAAACTTCTTGGTTATTTCTTAACACTTAGTGTTAAAGAACTAAATAATGAAATACATTTATTCAGGCTTGTATATACCTACCTAATTTAGAACAAAATGACATATTTTATCTAGCTTTGTTTGTGCATCTACTTCATTCACTCAGCTCTTTAATTATAGTTTTAGAGAAAAATTATTTTGTTATTTGTAATAATTTTTTTTGATTTTGTGATTTCCCTTCCCTTGACAAATCGTCAAAGCTTTCATTTGAGGAAAAGTGTTATGTTCTCATTGATCACATAATTTCAAGATACATTTTAATTTCAAAAATCCTTTTATTTTATTTTATTGTTTGTGGTATGCCAAATTTTCTTTATAAATATTTCTTCAGAAACTAAGATAAATAAACATCAAATTTATGTCGGCAAAATAATAATTTCTACCAATTACCCCCCCCCCCCCCCATTGAAGAAAATATTTATAACTCTCTTTCAATTCGAATGCAGAACGTTTTTAATATTTCATGGGTATTAATTAAGAAAATTTAAATTTCGAAAATATTGACAATAAAAATGTTTTGCTCAGAAGCGAACTGTCAGCTCTAATTATTGTGGTTTTGGAAAAAAGGAAGAAAAAAATTAAGATATCAATATTAACAGAAGAAGGAAAAAGTTAGAAATATGATTAAAATAGAAAAAAGTTTTTTTTCTTTCTTTTAAATATCAAACATTTGTAGTCCTAAGAATCTAAGTACAAAGTTTGATGATAGTAATTATTTTTCAATAGTATTTTTTGTTTTTTAATTATTTGTTCTTAATTATATATTTCTAAATGTAATTGATTGCATTAAATTCATTGAAACAGTTTCTACTTTTGCATATCTTTAAAATTTATGTATCATAATGAAGTTTTTTAATTTCTACATACCACTTCTAATAGTTTAAATAAATAACTTTAAAATTTCGCAATTTCTTTTAATTATTTAACCTTCATTGGCCCCTCATTTTGTCCAACCTAGATAAATATAGAAGTTGTATATTAATCGTATATTTTTATTTTGTATAAAAATATACGATTACGTTATAGTTATTTTTTTTAACTCTAGATTTGTGTGCTTAATCATTTTTATAAGCAAGTGGAGGATAATAATAGGTATTTATGTGGTAGGAATGACTGGCGACCCATAAATTTGACTTTAGTTGGCTTTGGGCAGACAGTGTGCAAACCTATTGGGCCCTCTTGTGAGATATGCTTGAACAAAGATCTTTGCTCCTTTGGAAAGAATGTTTTAAGCTCTAAAAGTAAAAAGAAAAAGAAAAACTGGCAAGTTTCCTATGAAGCATTTTTATTTACTATTATAAGCAAAAAGAACTATGTTTTATTGATGAACTATGTAATTGAATAAAGATATGAAAAGATGAAAATTGTTTTAAAAGTTGTGGATAAAGTCCTTTATGGATATCTGAAGCTTGACTCCATTTCCGATGGCTGCCAGGCTTAAATTAACTTAGGTCAGGGCTCACTAAAGTGTTGCAAATATATGATGATGGGCAAAAATATGCTTTGTGCTAATCACTTAAAATTATTGCATCCAAGAGATGAAAAATTTTACTGAGATACATCCTGATACAAAATTCATGCTAGCAATGAGTAGCCGTTGTTTAGAATTCACTGCTTAGACGTTCCCATAATGTAAAACCTATGGAAGACATTTGATACCATATACATACATACCCTCCAACTGCTACAGAATTTCCGTAGTTTCAGAAATCTTCTTTTCAGACGGTAGCAAAATTAATGTCTTAATATTTAAAATAAATTAATTTTAGCGTAACTTGTCCACTATTACTTATAAAAGTGCAGGCCATATGGCTAGATTCTTAAGTTCTGATAAAAGTTTTATGAGAGATCCATTTGCTTTAAAAATTTCTACTTTGGTTCGCTACCACTAGAAAGAATTATTTTCAAAATCCTCATAAGTTGGAGGGTATGTACATATGGTTGTTCTTCAGAAGTTGCAGTTCTTTAGAGGCCATTGTTAATGGTGGTTTTACTGCATTAGTCTTGTAAACTTTTTGTTGTTATTTAACTTGATTCAATGCAAAAAAAAACAAAAACATAGGAAGCACTATTTTATTTAATGAGGATAATAATTTTACTTAATTATGAATAAGTCAAAAAGTTTACTTTTTCCACTTATTGCTTATAAAAACCTCTCATAACATCTAAACTACTAATCTAATAGATTTAGTTTTGTGTGATTCAGCTTAAAAACACACACTTTACTTGTCTAGAAAGCAAGTTTTTCTTCCTTTTGAACTGTTTTTTTTTGTTTTTTTTTTGTTGCAGTAAATTCAAGATGACGGTTAAAGCTCACCCGGGAGACTATCAGATATTTATGTCAGCTAATCAGTTTGAATATCTGATTTCATGTCATCTAACATGAATATCAGATATTCAAATATCAGATATTCGTGTTAGATCTAAACTAAAACTTTTGAAACAATTTCTGCTTACAGCTTTTTATGTCTTTTTTTATTTATCCTTTTTTAAATGACAAACTAGTGTTATTTTAAGAAGGCTAAAAGCTAATCAAACTATGTAATTGATGTTTTATAAAATATTATGAACATTTTGTGTGATTCAAATGCAAGTTTATAATCCACAAATTTAATGAATGAAAAGAATTGGATAAATTATAAATACTTTTTATATCATTTACTGGATTACATTTTGATACCTGACATTATTATATTGTATTATTACATGACATTATTTATTATGTAGATTATTATCTAATGAAGCATAAGTTTTTTTTATTTACTTACTCAAAATATAAAAAAATAACTTCACAATAAGATTGAAACAGTTGATAAGTAAATTTTTCTAGCGAAAATTAAATTGAATATTGTGTTATCTAATTTTGTCAATTGTTTAGTTTGCTGTGTTTGAAAGTTCAGATATGTTTTAAATTCTTGATCCTACATATGTGTATTCATAATTGCAACTAATTTCCTAATTTCTATTTCCTCATCCTAAAAAAGTTTTTTTTTTTTTCCTTCCAGATTTAATTTTTTTTTGTAGGAAGTAGATTTTTATTTTTTAAGATATTTCTTTGCTCTTCCGCCTCTCCCACAAAAAAAGTATAAATTCAAGAAATATTTTACTTCTAGAAGAAAATCATAAAATATGAGGTTTAAATCATCAATTTATATAGCTTTTTTAAATAAAAAATGATAAAAATAAAAATTTTTTTTAGATGATTGAGATTGCCATTTTAACTTCTATACATTTTAATAATTTTTAATTAATTCCAAATTATTGTTGCATCTTTTCTTGCTTTCCCCCCCATTTCCATTCACCATTCACTTATTTGTTGTTTCCATCACTTTTTTATGCTTACAATTTAGTGTGTTTTTATTTCTAAAAAATATTTACTTATTTATGAATAATTTTTTTTTACAGAGATTTATGGAAAGATGTGAGTTTAGATCTGGTTGGATTTGGTCAGACCATTTGCAAGCCTACAAAACCAAAATGTGATAAATGCATGAATGTCAACCTTTGCCCAGAAGGGCAACGTTGCACAAAACGATAAATTATCAATACTCATACCTTACTAATATCTTGTTTTGTATTCATAATATATCTTTAAACCTCTTATTTTCAACTGAAGAAAGTTTTCAATGTTATTAGCAATGCTTATATTATTTTCTATTATTGTATTGTTTGTTTAAATTTTTTGATTAATGGGATTGTTTGTTTTAATTTTTTGAATAAAAGGATTCTTAGAAACTCTCTTTTTTTTTTAATTATTTGATTTATCCACAAAATAAAGAATTTTTTTAAAAATGTGTTTAAATTTTCAGTTTCATTCTATAACTGCATGGCTTTTAGAACTTCAAAATTACCACTTTCTTCCTTAAGACAATGAAAGTGTTTTAACCAGTTTTTAGAAATATTTTATGTAAGAAATTTTTTTTTCCATCTTTATTTGTTATTTTTTAATTTTTTTTTTACTTAAAAATGTTTGCTAAAAAGCATTAGGATTGTGTTGAACTTTTAATCAAATAACTTTAACATTTGAAGCATAATTTTATTTGTATTGTATATTTCTCTTTTGTATTATAATTGATTATGTTTATAATGCAAAAGCATGTTCAATATATGAAGCTTGTAAATATTCATATAAAGATAAGAAATGTAACTATTTTTAATTCTTTCAGAAATAAAGGTTTTATTTTAAAATCATATGATTTGCGATATTCATTCTTAATTTATGGTTCTTATAAATTTGTTTACTATACTGTAAGTTGTGAAATTTAGGTACAGAAACTTTGGAAATCATTTGAATGTTATGCAGCATATACAGGGTTTCTTATAAAAAAATTTTTTCAAAATGGAAATTCATGATAAATTCATGAATTTCCAAGAATTGTTATAAATGACCTTTATAACAATTCTTTTAAAAAAAATTCCATTCTCGTAGTATATTAGGCTAATTTTTATATTACGGCCGTATAACTATTTTTAGAATATATTACCATCTTCTACAACTTTTCATTGAAATAAAATTATTACTTTACTTATTTATTATTTTTTTTTAAATATTTGTTTATTATTGTTATTATTTATTATTGTTTTTTTACTTTCTTTTGAAGTTGTATTTATTGCTGTACATTTTACTGAACAATAAGTTTCACTGCTTGACTGTTAAATTTGTTCACTTTTGCATGTTTAGTTTATTTATAGTTCAGACTTCCTTATGTTTTTGAAGTTATTGATTGATTAATATTTATTTAGTTATATTATTATAATAACACAATATTTGCTAATTGTATTAGTTTTTGCTTGGAAAATCTAACATTTGACATTACAAATATTAAAAAAAATGATGAAGTTTCCTGATAAAAAATTGCATGGTTTTAGATAAAATATGGTATAGATTTCCATTGAAATATACCTGGAAATGTCAGGAATTTTTATGTACTTATTTATTTATTTTTTGAAATTGAGTGGGAAGTCTGATGTCCTATTCTGTTTGATTTTGTTAGGTTTAAATATAATGTGACAAAAGAGCTAAAAAAATGTTATATATATTATTATGGTTTTAACGCTTGTTGAAGACAAAGAAAGACACTGCAATTGAATGAACACAATTTATTTTTTTTATAAAACTACATTCTAAAATTACAAATGTTGCGAAGTAAAATGCTTCTGTACAATATTTACAAAGGTTCTTGGTTCATAATGATAAGCTATAAGTGAATAAAAAAATTCATATAAAATACTGTGCAAAAAAGTATAAATAAATAAATACTCTTAAAATCTACTTTTAAAACTGATTAAAAAGGTTTGAGAGATTTATCTAAAAATCTCTTTTATGTAATATATCTCACACATTACTGTTATAAATATCTACTTTTGTAATTTTAACTTAAAAAAATTCTATGAGACCTTAACAATCTGTGATTTCCAACATGGTAATATGCATACTTTGGATAAGTTATATATTTATGTAATCAAATTTACACCACATTTTAAAACACTTTCTACCAAATTTTCCACAAAAAGAGATAAAAAAAAAGAATAAAAATGGATTAATCACAAATATCACTCAAAGAAAAATTCCACACAAATCATAAATAAATCTACTTTGTAGAGAAAATGTTATGAAGACATGTTTAGTACAACATGTTTTTGTAACCAGCTGTATGATAGAGTAATTATGATAATTTTATGCCTTCTTTTAAAACATTTCGATTCTGCTCGATGTACTGGCTGTGCTTTTCTTCAATGGGTAGACCTGGAAAAAAAAAAGCACATTATACTTTAGTTCAAACTTCACTGAAAAGAAAGAATTATTGGTCTCCATGCTGCAGAGCGTTTGACGGAATGGAGAAACTGCTCGATCAGGGAGGCTCCAACAGCGATTTCGCTTACCTTATAAGGTGAGTCAAATTCGCCAAAAATCGTTGACTGCACACAAAAGGAAAGTTATGACGTGAGTCATGTGGCACATACTTTTCCTTCACAGAAAAAAATGGGAAAAGCAGTACCGATTTGTTTTGTTTGGGCAAATTTAACTAAACTTAAATGAAACAAAAAATCACTTTTGTATTAACTTTGAAGGATAAAAACTCTGGAAGCATCTTATTATATAGTTGCTATTCTTTGATGCGCTTGTATCTATAGTTGCATATAGTTAAAAATTTAGATTCTTTTGATACAACTCTTTTTCTTGTTTTTAAAAATATAGGAATACCCATTAATGCGCTTGTTATTACACAGATAAAGAGGCTGGTAATTTATCGTCTCCTCACTGTCACAGATTATTTATATCTTTTTTCCGCCTAAATTTTAGAGATTTCTTCCCAATTTTTATATGTTTCAGTTATTAAAACATCGTTTAAATCGCAAATTTATTTAATTCCACTTAAAATTTTGTAATTTATAAAGATTTCGCAAATTTCTTACTTTAATTCTTCTACACGACCAGTTCCAGGTACCCTTTGAAAATTTTATTTGTTTTCTGGTCGATTTTCAAGGTGCTCGATTCTGGGCAGCTAGTCGAATAATCAAACAATCATGCAAACAAGATAAAGATTGTTCAATTTTCTATGGAACAAATATTTTACAAAATATAGATCCAAGGAAATTTATTGTGCACATATGTGAATATAATCGTATGTTTTTCTTTTTGGTTTATTCAGCAGCAAAAGAATTTTAACCAGACTGGCTGGAAATTTAATTTTTTAAACCATTAAGTAAGAAAGCATTTTAGTTAAAATTATCAATGGCAAATTTTATTCATGTTTTGTTTTTATTAAACGTAAATCAAATAATACTGCAGCAGAAGTAAAATGTTTCCCAGGGAGATATTTTGTTAAGCTATGTAAAAATTAAGTTTTTTTTCTTCTTTTGTTTTAGAATGAAAATGAAAAGTTCCTCAAAAAATGTAATTTTATTCAAACAATTGTCTTGGTTTTATCTACAAGGAAATTAATCTTCAATGATGTTTACATTAGTATGTAATCGCATGAGAACAATTAATGTGTTTATAAGAAAATTTCTGTTTGAAACTTTGTTGTCTACCACCATACTTTCATAAAATGCTAAGTTACAAATACAAAAAATAAAAACTGGTGTTAAACGAAGGCTATTTTCCTTAGTTAGGATACAGGTTGTGTCCATTTTCTCTCTCCATATATTGGTCTTATATTGGATGCTATTTTTTCCAGGTTTGGGTTTATTTGCTCTGTTAGATTTTTTTATTGAAAAAAAAGAAAGATATTTGCCCCTTTAATTGTTTTTACCAGTGTTTTGTCAAATTCCTCTACAGAAATCAGAACCTCTACTGAGCAAATCAGAATTGTTTGATAAAAATTTCTGAATTATTCCATCAAAATACATTTTTTAGCTATGCTTGTTAAATTTTTTCCCCCTAAACACCATAGAATGTTGCATTGAATAATGTATCCTTTTTCTTCTATTTTTTACTGACGTTAGACCACTACTCTTTTACCTCAGATAACAAAACCTAAATCAGCCTAATTCTACACTTAACAATTCAACTCATGGACTGCACACTAAAAAACGTGTGTGTTTTTATATTTTCCTTATTTATACTAAACACATTAGCCTAGAAGAAAACAATCTTAAATTTTTATTAAAGCATAGTTAAGTGATAAAATTAATATTTGCTGTGTTGCCAATTCGTATGGTTGTTAGGAAAGTTTTTATAAGGTGGTAGAAGAATAATTGTTATAGAGTAGAAAGATTACTCCTATACAGGGCTAAAGAGAATAGAAGGGCTAGTTCACTCCGCTCTTAGAGCTGAAGCTACGATTTGCCTCCTCATGACGTCACTGTGTCCACAGATCTCTAAGATCGCAAGCAAAGATATTATGATAACTTTGCATCTTTCTCTTTGTAAAAATAAGTTAGACTTTTTCTGGTTATTAGCCTTCAAACTTTACGTAATTAACACATTATTTCCGTTCATAAACATAGTTCAAAAAAAACTTTCTTGGTTATTATATTAAAAAAATACCATTTTAAACTTATAAAAATGTTTTGCTAGTTGGTGAAAATGACACGATAAATACTTTATTTTAAAAAGTTCAGTTTTAACTTTAACTATTAAGAAAAATGAAGGCATATATCGACACTTTTTTTATCTACATATTCTTTTATAAAGATAAGTTAAGTTAAATTTAGAATCCCTGATTTTAAAATATGTCGTTAATAGCAATTTGTTCATACTTAATCATTAGGAAACATCAACCTTAAACGCTAATTACTGAAACAAAATAATAATTTAGGTTCATAATGACATTAGAAATTTTACAATTGTTTATAGACATTTAAATTTACGATGATATAATTTATAGATATTTAAATTGAAGAGAATATAATTTTTAAAAAAAATCATAAATATTTAGAATAACTACATTAAAAAATATGTTATGAAATTAGGAGAATTTCAACTATATACTATATATTTTATTTATACTTTTTATTTACATTTTAATTTTCATTTACTTTATCCATTTTTTAATTTTTTTCACCTGCCTTTCTTTTTGAAGTAACGAGGTGGTTTCTATTTAGATAATGAATTTTTATACAAGTTCTTAATGACAGAATAAACGACAGAATATTGCTGTTTTATATTAACTGTGTCATTTCGGAATCCATTCTTTACATAGCTGTTCATTTACTTTAGGGAACATGCGGAAAATTATATTTTTTCCTTTGTTTTTCTATCAGAATTTTTTCAAGTTGCAATCGCGCAAACTGGCATTTCGATAATAGTTTTAAATTCTTGTAAATTCACTGCAAAAACTGAGGAAAGTCATTATAGAAAATAACAAATGTCTTAGAATATCTCGCAAAAAGAAATGCTCCAATATTAGTTAGAGCTAGTAAGGCCGAACGCTCCGTTCTTGAAGTAAAAGTGCGAGCTTTGCGCCAAAGTGACGTCCCTAGAGAAAATCGGAGGATTGGCGCGGCGAGAGCTACTTCAAAGGAGTGAACCAGCCCTTCTATTCTCTTTAGCCCTGACTACTATATGCCAATGTTTCATTTTTGGAATATGTACCTTTTTCAAAAATATAAAGACTGATAATCTAACTATGTCCTTAGAATTTATCTTGGAGAAATACTAAGACATTTGTTTTCTCAAAGTTATTTTAATAATATAAAATTCTTTAATATATTTTGAATAAATGAATTTTTCATATTTTTAAATCCAGTTGGTAGTTAAGGAAATGAATCTTCTATTAATCACAAATGTGTGGCCGTTTTTCTCATCAGTAGTCATATCAATTTCAATTACAAGTCATTCATTTCATTTCAACTGAACGTCCCGCAGTGGACCGATTGTTAAGACACAGTTCGCAGCAGATCACTGGATGCGGGTGAGTGACCACTTGGAACAGTGGGCGTAGGGACCGAGGGTGTGCGGTATTGGTCCTCGTTAAACTGTTCTACCATAAAGTGCTCGATTTCACGTGTAAATACATTAAATAAAGGGCTAACGAAAAAGTTTTGCACCTTTATTTTTAAGGTATTATTGCGAAGTGTGAACCTGGCAGGTTAATGGATGAGTTTGAATATGGATGTATCGGTTATTTCAAGCGAACTTTCACAAGGAAATAACTTACAATCTCTCTCTCTTTGATTTCTGAAATAGAAAGTGTTAAAAAGTACCATTTTTAAATAAAGGATTAACAAAAAAGTTTTGTTCTTTTATTTTCATGGTTTTATTACAAACGTGCATCTGGCAGGTTAATGCTTAAGTTGTAATTATATGACAGTGAATATGAATGTATCGGCAACCAGTACCGTTTTTACGTATAGCCAGTGCCTGGGAGCCTCAAGCACTCGGGTGGGCCTTGAGAATCTTAATTTTTGTAAATTTTATTGAAAATTAACTTAGAATATACAACATTGCATTATACATTTTTTTAAATAAATATATTCTAGTGTAAATAGTGTGCATTTTTTTCAACAAATAGTGAATGATTATCGTTCAATCACCAATAATTTAAATAGTTTTTCACCTGGAAAACTTAAAATAAAGCGAAATCTATTTTTAAACATTAAAATAAGGTTTTTAGTTAGTTAATCAGCTCTTTAGGTCTAATTGTCTCTAACTATGCTTGACCACCACCAACTCTGTTTAGTGTTTAGAATTAGTTAAATAAAGTACTAATTGAAAGAGTTTAGAATTACACAGTACTACAGGACAGCAACTTTTAAACTGGTTATATCTGATTTGCATTTTGAAATATGTTTTAATAACTAACTTTCATAGTTTGACCAAATAATTCATACTTTTTGCGTTTTTTATTTGGCATACCTTTATGTTTTTTTTTTTCTTAATTTCATTTTTTTAAGTGGCCTCTTGGTTTTTTTAAAAATTATTTTATTTATTGAGGATTACAACTGGTCAGCATCTCAATTTTTAAAAAATTAAGCATAGATTTAAAATGTTTTATTTTATGTAATAAAATTATGTAAATAATAACAAGCAAATAATTATGATGATTATAAAAAATAATAAAATTATGTAATGCTTTATTTCTGGGTAATAAAAAGATGCTTAAGTTTTTTTTAGATAATTGAATGTCTTAAAATGTTCTATTTTCTGAATATTAAGTCTTTTAGTTTGATTTTAAACAGTATAATGTGTTAAAAGGGCCCAAAACATTTCTGTGCCCGGGGGCTCTGCTCGCTATTAAGGCGGTCCTGTCTTACTTCAAGCAAACATTCACAAGGAAATAACTTTTTGATCCTTCTCTCTTTTTTATTTCAGAAATAGAAAATGTTACAAATAAATGTTATCAAATAAAAGGTTATCAGCAGAAGTTTTGTCCCTTTATTTTTAAGGCATTATTGCAAAATATGAATATGGTGAAGGTAAACGGTTGTTATTATATAACAGTGAATATTAACGTGTCGAATATTTTTAAATAAAGGGTTAATAAAAAAGTTTTGTCCCTTAATTTTTAAAGGAACTTTGAACATATTTATGAGAAAATTTTTATTAAAATATAAATAGCAAAATTGTCTGATGAGATTTCCTCACATATTTTTAAAATAGAGCAGGCTTATCGTACCTGTATCGTACAGCTTGTTTTCGTACGTGTAATCGTCAGGAAATTATATAGTTCAGCATTAAGTATGCTACTCAGAACGTACATGCGGGAAAATACAAAATCCTTTTAATACATTTGTAGCGTATCTACCACTACAAAATTACAACTACATTTCACTAGTATATAAGACATGTTAACTCGACTCTATGTCGGGGTACCTTTTCATAGATGAAGGTTGACATGGTCTGTAAGGTTGACATGGTCTCCCCACATTGGTGACCCGGACGTGATGTGAACACGCCTACCTTGAAAAGAACGCCCACTTTGATCTGGATACGCCTACATCGGCAGTAACGCCTACTTCGTTGGATGGTCCACATTGAACAGTTGACTTGCTACTTGTGACTGCATCATTATCCCCCTCCTTACGCTGTTGCTACTCAGTCTCATCTCGATCACACACAACGTTGGCTTGCATACACTCGACTGCTAACGGCAACACAGGAGCGACCACAACCGTGAAGTTAATACACCTCTCACATTCAGCACTCAAAAAATACGGTGATCTTAATACAGCTCTCCCGGCTTCGCAAAAAACAGCAATGAATCAACTAGTGGCATCCATTCATCGAATTCTATCATAGCTATAATTCTGGTGGGGGAGTACTGTAGCGTATCTACCACAACAAAATTACAACTACATTTCACTAGTATATAAGACATGTTAACTCGACTCTATGTCGGGTACCTTTTCATAGATGAAGGTTGACATGGTCTGTAACTACTCTCCCCACACATTACTTACCTCACTTTAAACATGATGTTATAAAAAAATTCCTATATACTATAAAAAAATTTTAGATATTAATTTTGACTTGCCAAAAATGTTTCCGAAAATCTCATAGAACTTCATTTAATAACATGTTTTCGATCAATTGAGAGACATTTCTTTAATTTTAAAAAATAGGAAACTGAATCGGGTTGACGCCGATTCAGTTTCAGAGCGTAGTTATCATTATGACTATTAAACTCTGATTCAGGAGTATATAAAGCAAGTTAATATTGCTGCACGTTTTGATAAATAACGGTTGACATTGATGGCAGCATATTCTCTACACAAGAGGTGTCCGAAATATTAAGAAAAGAAAAAAAAACTTCGTAACTGCAAGAAATGTTTCTAATATTTCTGAAGTACTGCGAAATGTTTCTGGATAATACAGAAAGAGAGCTCTGATAGCTTAAACTCTGCTTAACTTAAACTCTGATTCAGAAGTATATAAAGCAAGTTAATATTGCTGCACGTTTTGATAAATAACGGTTGACATTGATGACAGCATATTCTCTACACAAGAGGTGTCCGAAATATTAAGAAAAGAAAAAAGAAACTTCGTAACTGCAAGAAATGTTTCTAATATTTCTGAAGTACTGCGAAATGTTTCTGGATAATACAGAAAGAGGTATCCGAAATATTCAGAAAGGTTTTACAACATATACCATAGCTGCCCCCTATATTCAGAAACGTTACGGTTTTTTTTTTTGCAGTGTACCTACCCAGATGTTCACAGAAAAATACGTTAGAAAGTTTCGTTGTGAGATCCATTGCTGTGAATCGGCTTAGACTTGAATGCCCACCGAACAGAGTTCTCATTGCTCTGTCACACAAGAACGGCACATCTGTTTGATTCAGGTGAACTGTTCCCCTGAAACAAAAACATAATGCATATATAAAAAAAGCCTATTATTTTTTAATCATTGAAACAACAGCTATAAGACTATATTTATAAACTTGTTTTAGTATAAGTCCCATAACGATATCATTGAATTGTTTTAATATATCAGTGTTTCCCAAAGTGTTGAATCAAAACAGTCCTCCACGAAGGCAAAATTTTTCCCTATACTTGATCATGGAGTTCCCTTGTCTTGTGGACTGGGTTCAAAATTACAAGGCTACGCAGTTGAGCATTAGTAGTCGTAAACCTAAAATTGGGTCTGCTGTTCCTAGACACTTATAAAATAACATCAAAATTCGCCTATAATGCGCATATGTGTTGCCCCGGTAGCAGACCCGGATATGTTTTGCCTCGGTAGTAGAGTGATCCAGTGGTCCCCATCCTCCCAAGCTCTTGGGCGCATTCATCCCCCCCCCCCAAAAAAAAAATTTGCTAACTTCACCCTTCCATGTTAGCTCGTTCGAAATAGTGCTACTTTGCTTGCATATAATATAAGAAATGCAGACCTTGATCCTGATTGTGAATGCTGAAAATATGTTTAAAGCAAAAATAAATAAATTAAAAAAGACGGCACAAAAAATACTTGAAAATGGGCTGACTAAAACTATTACAATAAATGATAAGTTACTGATGGCACCTGTAGATTAATGAGCTCAGAAGTTTTAAACTAATAATTAAAAAAAAAAAAAGTTTATTGAAGTTACCAAACAATGCAGCAAATGGCAAGCAGCAATCATCACAAGAGTTGGGAATTTTAGCACAATTAACCCTTTCAGACAAACGTCCATTATAATGGACATGATTTGGAGATTTTTTTTTAACCCTGTCGATCGCCGTTTTTTAACAAAAAAATTATGCAAATGGTTCTTTATACCGTTAAGAATGTAAACATTTCCAGAATTTCCTTATGTATTTTGCTTTGCACCTGTAGTCAAGTTATGTATGCCTGAAAATGGCCAGTTGCTTCTTTTATTTATGTAATTAAAAAAAAAAATTCTCTCGTCTAAATGCCTCCCCAAACTATTCGTTTTATTTAGTGCAACCCTCCCCCCAAGCTTTAAGTGGGCGCCTCGTGCGCCCTCCTTCCCCCCTGATGGGGGCCCCTGGAGTGATCTATAGCACTTCTTCATGAATCCAAATTTTTTTTGCAGCTTCAAGGCATTCAGATAGATATTATTTCAGAAATTCAGCTTTACCATTTAACTCTAAGACTTTTATTTTGCACTAATGGAAAAAATGTACGCATGAAACGGTTCTAGGGGTGTTTCACCGAACATACCACCTGTGGTCTTTACCCCACCCCTACAGAATGAAAGGAACTCCTGAGGTAGGTATACTTAGAGTGCCTGTATTGAAAAGAGTGATGACAATATCCAAGAGCGCATGCGCTGCCGTCAGATTTTTGTCCAAGGGGGTAGCCAGATGATACACCGAAATTGGCGCCACTCGCTCATTTGGTGTTATTCTGAAGGTTCTGTTATTCTAAGAGTATATACTAAAGTATNTTCAAGAATCCAAATTTTTTTGCAGCTTCAAGGCATTCAGATAGATATTAATTAAGAAATTCAGCTTTACCATTTACCTCTAAGACTCTTATTTTGCACTAATGAAAAAAATGTACGCATGAAACACGTGGTGACAAGTTTGCATAGAAATTAAATGGAAATTTTCTTTAGTTAGCAACTAATTTTGTTAAAAAAAAGACAACAACTGTTTTATATTGTAAAAGCAAGGCTGCCAATTTTCTACACTTTGTTGGAAAACTTCTTTTTGTGGTAGTAAATTTTACGTCTTATGTATGATTCCTTCCTTAGTAAAATTGATTTGAAGTTATTTTCCCTGCTAATACACGTGAATGATTTAAAAAGTTGATATTAAAAATCACTTCTTTCTAATTCCTCATGGTGAAATTATTTAAGTTTAAAAAAAATTGAACTAATTTCCTTTTTATTATCTGCCACTCAATAAAATATTTTGAAAAAGGCGCCCTGGAAGTCTACGTAGATAATTTTATATGATTCATAGCTTTTGTTGATAGGAACATTCAGTTTTAAAAAGTTCCCACGAGCTGGAAAAAATAAATGAGTGGTAGCTAAGATTTTTCAAGACTACTGAAAGATGCTTACATTCATCTTTATTCGCGAATTATGAAATTATTTTTTGTACCTATATACATTTATTTCCTTTCCATTATTTCCTTTTTTCCGAATAAATATTTATTGATAGCTTAAAAACATCTAAATATATCTATCTCACTTTAAAAGATTTTTTAGATGGTCTTACCACTTGTAAGAACTAAGAATGAAAAATTTGAGTAGCCCGTCATTAACATTTTTAAAAAGAGACAAGCTCCAAAAACAGAACATTGGATTTTTAGCGGTTAATCTAACATTCATGTTGCAAAATCTTCAAATATAAGGTTCTTAAAAATTATATATGCATACCTGCCAGCTTCTGCGGTAGCCAAAACAGGTTTCACAAAGTGGTAGTAAAATAACAATTAAAGTTAGAAATATTTTCTAATAATTAAACTACCTAAACATTTCAGAGCAAATACATCATATCTACGCATTTTTTAACCCTTTTGCATTCGCAGTTTTTTTAAACACTGTTTGATATAACTCCAGCACTATAGCATTTAAAATACACAATACAGTATTATTATACAATTTTAAAATGCTGAAATAATGCGGTCACTAATTATTAAGTAATAAAATTTCTTAATTTTAAAGTGGTGACTGTTGATGGTGCCTCAGTGGAGACATCGGAGTGCAAAGGGTTAATTATTGATCTGTCGAGGTAAGTTTAAAAATTTTTTTGGAACTTTAAATTGAAGATTTAGTTTGTCAAAACGCTATAATGATGTTACCACTAAGAAAATATTTTTCTCAACAGCCGTACAAGTTGGCAGTTACGTATTTGTTGTTTAAATTCAACCCTTTGCACTCCGAGTACTTTTAAGGACTGTCTGATCTAATATCAGCACTATAGCATTTAAAATACACTATATACTATTGTTATACAATTTCAAAATTCTTCAACAATGTGGTTACTAATTATTAAGCTATAAAATTTCGTAATTTTGAAGTGGTAAATGTTGATTTTGCCTTAGTGGGGACATTCGAGTGCAAAGGGTTAAGTTTAATTTATACATTGATGCTGAAAAGGGATTAGATCCCAATACAGTCAACACATTGCAAGTGGGTCTCATTGATTTAATTTTTAATGGGGTTGTGAAATTTCTACATTTATACTTATTTCATCAAATTATACCTAAATTGATTTTAACTACCATTACATTTAAATAGTTTAAACATACTTACAAATAATTTGACAAATTCATGCATTTAGTAAAATATTTTATGGAGTTGATTAATTTAAAGCCCGAACTCTTCGTAACTTTGCAAACATTTCAAATGTCTCTAAGTTTAAATGAATAAAAAATAATACATTAAAGCATAAACTTAGGTACCAATGCAACAATTTTTTTAAAAAAGGTTACAATGTTTGTAGCCCAACATTTAGTTATTTTATTAGGTTGAACATGCTAGCTAAACGTGAACTGATTGTATGCTTTATGTGTCACTTTAAATGGCGATTCACTACCACCAGGTGAACATCCCAGAGAAGTGGGTTAGAATTGACTTGATACTCATATGTGGTAGTTATCTTAGCATCAGCCCCGCGAGGGACTCTAACTAGTAATTCATCTGAGTGGGAATAAATAATAAATCGCCGAAGCGCAACTGAAAGGTGGGGTTCAGTAACATTTACTGAGAGAAAATTAAATTAAAGTAGCGAGATTATACTAACAAATTTAAGAGAGCGAAGATGTTTTTGTGGCAGACTGCCTCGCCTCCCCCTAAGCTTCGCAGGTGCACAGTAGCCACATAGCCTCAGAGAAATTGGAAAAATACATGATAATAAATGCGCAAAAATATAAAGGTGAATATGAAGTGAAAAATTATATACAAGTATTTACAAAATTTACGGGACAATACCTCATCGGATAGGAAAAAGGCGGTGGCCGGGCTATATTTTATATTGTCTTTGATGAGTTCAAAATCAAAGTTTTTAAAGTAGTTGCACGCATCACAGGAGAGTGCATCCCTGAAGAAATTTACACATAGTTCAGCTATTTTGTTGATTTTTAAATCTTTTATTAGATCTTTCATTCTCATGAATCTGGAGACCCCAGTGATGTAATTGACTTGATACTTTACTTTGTTTAACAAAAGCTGGGCACCTGGGCCGCGCAGAAGACCCATATCCCATTCATCATGAAATAACAAACAAAATAAATATAAAAACAGTTCGTATACAGAGTCTTTGAGGTGATATTAATTGACTTGATAGTAATGATATTTTCATTATATTAAGGCGTTATTATGCAAAGAGTGGTAGTTTATTATTATTAGGTGGGAATTTTCTTGCGTAAACTACTATGTATGTTTTCTTAAGCACAAATCCATGATTATGGATGGAAATATCAAGCTTCATATTTCTAAAATATCGAGATGATAGGTGTGTTTTTTTAAATCTCAAAGATAAGTACTAAGAATGAAATAGTTGTGTTATCAGCTTTTATGAATTTGGAATCTAGAATAAATTAACTAGCTGCGATGGGTTAATTAGATACCATTTTAAATGATATTAAGATTTATACCCTTAATGTTAGATACGCTTTTATTGATTTTCATGCGCAATTTCTACTGATGTTGCGATTGCATTACACTTTGTTGTGATATAAAAAGTACTTTTTTTGAAATTAGTGTTTAGTTTAAACTGCAACATTAGATAACAGTACTTTTTCCGGTAGCATGCGATTTTTGAATGGATAATACATGTTTGCGCGTCGATGTTTTCTTGAGTGAGTCTTAGCCACCATTGCGAACAATGATTGCTAAATTGTATAAGTGCATCTACGGAACAATTTTACACAATGTATAAGAGTGAAAAATTAAAATACA